CAGAGCTTCATATGATTATTAAGAGTATTGACTACCTTATTACTACGGTTTATGTAATATGCAGTAAGAAAGGGTGGATTCAAGTCTCCCTATTTGAGTGTTCACCCGGTTTAAAATCGTGGATCTCGAGGAACACACGAATTCATTCGACCAATCAAAAACGTGGAACTAGTTCGAGAGTCTTGTTCAGGTGGCGCGTCGACGAGCCAAAACACAGCTCCGGATTATCACGCGTAGTATTACTATATATACACGACCAATCAAAAACGTGGAACTGCTTCGAGGGCCCTCCGCTAAGGTGGCGCGCCGAAACCAGAGAAAAATTGAGACCACCAAAAACAGGCTCATTGGCAATCTCCCTACTCATCTCTGCATTGGCATTCTCCCTACTCATCTCTGGATCAACTATGATTTTGTAGTCACTGACTGAGCCTCGTTCCCTTGTGGTTAGTTGGGACTGAAACCAGGAATTAAAAATGAAACTTCTTTTAGTGATCGGTCTCTTCGCCGTTATTTCTTGTTCAGAAAGTAGTGCCGATGACAAAGCCAACAAAGGACCTAAAGTGACAGAAAAGGTGAGAGTAATTAAAATGCTGTAAGTAGTTAAAGTTTATGATAAGTATACTATTTTTAATTTATTTATTATTCGTCTATTGCATTCATGTAGCTCAAATTTTGATTGTTATCTGTGTTTATTTTAGTATGTAATATGATAGAGCTTTCTGGATTTTTCACTGTTTACACAATTATAATTTGTTTGGAATGCACTTTGAATGAACATATATATCTGAATATATTCTAAAGGATGTAATTTTTGTATTGTGTGCTTCTTCCTAATTTTCTTGCTTTCAGATTGTTATTGGGAGATTTAATTTTGTTTAATAGATTTTAGGCCTGGTTCCACCAATAACAGCTAAAATGAAACTAAGGCTTAAGTATTCACGAATCACATGTCTGGATTTTGCACTTAAGCCTTAATTACATTTTCGCATATGTTGCTGTAACCAGTCCTTATGGTTTTATTTATATAATTCATTTACAGGTTTGGTTTGATATTGAAATTGGAGGAGAACCAGCAGGAAGAATAGAAATTGGTTTATTTGGAAAAACTGTTCCCAGGACAGTTAAGAACTTCGTTGAACTAGCCAAAAGAAATGCAGGAGAAGGCTATAAAGAAAGCAAATTCCATAGAGTCATTAAAGACTTTATGATTCAAGGAGGAGATTTTACTAAAGGTGATGGAACTGGAGGTTTGTATTTTTAAATTAAAATTTATACAATTGAATGTGTTTAAAATGAATAGTCTCATAGATATATAAATTGAAAAAAAATATTCATTTCAGGACACAGTATTTATGGACAACGATTTGCGGATGAGAATTTCAAACTGAAGCATTATGGTGCTGGTTGGCTGTCTATGGCAAATGCCGGAAAAGACACTAATGGATCTCAATTCTTTATCACCGTTAAAGCAACTCCCTGGTTAGATGGGAGACATGTTGTATTTGGCAAAGTTATCAAAGGGATGGTAGGTTATTAAATATATATAAGAATATTAATTAATAATAAATGTATATATTTGCAATGTTTTTATTGTTAATATATATTAGATGTACAGTTTTTATGAAATACATTGATCTTTGTTTATAGGATGTTGTAAGAAAAATCGAAAATGTAAGCACGGATGGCCGTGATAAACCTTCTAGAGACGTCATTATCGCAGACAGCGGAGCAGAGACAATTTCTGAACCGTTCGGTGTAGCTAAAGAAGATGCCACGGATTAAAAAGTAACTTTAACATTTCTTGAGAAGTTTTGAATCAGAATGAATAAACATTTTGGCATCTGCCATATCAATAATTTTTACAATTGTAATTGCATTTCTATGATGAATTAATAAATATAATTTGTTTATAAGGTTACATTTCATATATGATATAATAGCACCTCTTTTTAAAATTGGGTAATCAGTTGATCACTGTTTTATCGAATGTTTGCAAAAGCGCTTATAACGAACCAGCATTGAATGGGTTTAAGCATATATAGCTTTTCATATACATATTGTGATTTCATACGATTCGAATAGTATCATTTCTTCAATAAACAAGCACAAACCGGTTTATTTGACCTATAGGTTTTTCTATGTTAATAGAAAGCAATTCTAAATAGCAACCTGCGCGCAAAAATTATAGCAACCGAGCAGCAAGGAATTGTGTGCTGTGTCAGCACAACCATAGGAACATGCATCCTCATTTTCTTCCATATTTACAGCAACACAAAGTTATCAAGAGATTTGGTCTCTTAATAATAGAGTTATGAATGAAAGGATAGTTTTAAAGCTTTTCGAATGATGCTCAAGAAGATTTCAGTATCGTAGTGCGATTCGGTCATTGACATATGTATAGTACCTGGACCGTGACCTGGACTGACCTAGATAAAGTTGGCCGGACAATTTTAATTTATTTACTTTTGATAATAGCAATTCGATTGGTGGTCGATTGGTCGTCATTGGTGGCCCACTTAGAACATTTGGTGGTAAACCGTTTTTTTGTAATTAATTAATCAAAATTTACCCGTGAAATTAGCCGAACCATTTATTTTTTCAACGAATTCAGTTTTCAAGGGGCTCAATCGATTGGAAATCGTTTGGTGGTTACGAATATCATAATTAAAAAATTTGGTGGTCCTTAGTTTCGCCAAAAAACCTAAAATAAACAAGCAAGGAATCGGACATATTGGGGCATAAACAGTCAGGGTCGAGTCATGGGTCGATAATGCAGATATTTCGCGACAGATTTTGCTCTAACTGGTCTTAATCGATGCAGAAAGGTACGCTAATGATTGGTAGTCCATTTTCAGCATTTGGTGGTCATTAATTATTGCACTCCGTATGAAAAATAGTGCGGGTACAGTAGGACAGGCACTAAAGGCTGGGATTGGCCGACAAATGGATACAGGGGGATTGACACGTTTTTGCTGATAAAACTTGTAATTATTAACCGATTTTGCTCTAACTGGTCTTAATCGATGCAGGAAGGTGCACTAATAATTGGTAGTCCATTTGCAACGTTTGTTGGTCATTCCTTAGCGCAATGTATCAGGTGTCGAAAATATGTAATTTGAGAACTTCAGAAAGTATCCAGTCAATGCTTCAGATGTCTACGTCAGATATGTTGGATTTTGAAATTCTTGGTGAGGTCTCTCCGTAGCTTGAGACACCCAGTCACACCCAGTGAAGAAGAAACATTTTTTCCAAATTTCTGCAATTTCCCCGTCGATGCTTTCGAGGCAGAAGCTAGCAACAGATGGAATGTGCAGTGAAAACCATGAAAATAATTATATGAAAGTGATGAGAGTCAATTATATAGTATATAAAACAAGTCATAGAACGAATAATACCAAAGAATATAGAAGAAACAGGAACAATAGGGCCAGTGTAAAATCTGGCACACAAAAAGAGGTGCCATTCATTGCCGATAGAATGTGCGCCGATATATCAGTGTGAGGGCACATAGAAAGACTCGAGTCACGCCCCTTAGGCTCGCCTCTCTCGCGTTGATGCCACAAAGCCATAATGTCATCCTACTTGCACTAACGTTATAGCATTGCTTGGACGTATAGATATTATATTCAATACCCTCTCTCTTTGACAAGGAGAAGTTACACCCGTGGAATTTTGTTTGGATTCATACTGCTCATAGTTATAGGTCATCACCAAACTTTTATAGTAATGTGTTAAAATAATACGATACGCTTTTCAGCCATTTTCGAGAAAAAATAAGCTTTAAAGAAATCCACGTACGTTATATAGATCTTAACGTTAATATTTTTTTAGGCAGCCAGATATCTCAAATGGTAGCATACTTGACTGGTATGTTAAAGGCGCGGGTTCGATTCTCGATGCCTAAATATACTTTTTCCGATTTTTTTTTAGATTAAAATTGATGTTTATTGCAATTGGCTATTAAATTTATTTAAATCAAACAAAAATCTTAATTAAAAACAAATTTTTAGGAATATCTTTCGTCTGAACATTCATATTTTCATTCATTTATGTATGATATTATATTTATTAATTCATCATAGAAATGCAATTACAATTGTAAAAATTATTGATATGGCAGATGCCAAAATTTTTATTCATTCTGATTCAAAACTTCTCAAGAAATGTTAAAGCTACTTTTTAATCCGTGGCATCTTCTTTAGCTACACCGAACGGTTCAGAAATTGTCTCTGCTCCGCTGTCTGCGATAATGACGTCTCTAGAAGGTTTATCACGGCCATCCGTGCTTACATTTTCGATTTTTCTTACAACATCCTATAAACAAAGATCAATGTATTTAAAAAAACTGTATGTACACGGAATTTTACTTCCGGCAATATTGACGCTCTGGAGCCTTTTTTATAATAATCTGGGACTTTCGCTTACGTTACTGTGTCGCCTCATGCTCCGTAAATGGTGGAACAAGTCAAACGATAACGAAATAAATCTGTATTAATTCAAAACGGAGCACGAGGCGACACAGTAACGTAAGCGAAAGTCTCAGATTATTATAAAGAAGGCTCCAGAGCGTCAATATCGGCGGAAGTAAAATTCTGTGTACAGCGGAAACATCGCTAGGGAGGTCTTCCCTTTCCGGTGACTGGTGTGGAGAATGAGTGTGTGATCAGGAATAGGAAAAGGGTGCGGGAGTGTGTGTGTGGAGGTGTTAGGAGGGTAGAAGGCGGTGGTGAGTATAGAGGAGGATGAGTTGTGTAGGGTGAGAGAATAGGCTGGTAAAGGGAGTGAAGGAATAAGTGAGGGTGGTGGCAGTAGGGACGGGGCATTTTTCGAGGTTAGGTGATAGTGAGAGTGACAGGCGCGGGAGAAGTAGGTGTAGTAGGGAAAGGATTAAGGTATGGTAGGAAAAGGCCGGTAAGGTAGGGAGGGGGATAACAGCGAAATGTAAGGCCGGTGGAGGACGGTAGGGTATTAAGTGGAAATGGCGGACGAGAATGGTGGAAAAGAGGAGTACGAGGAAAGAAGAAGAGGAAGACCGACAAATGTGGCGAGGCTGATGAGGGGGCGAGCAGGGAGTGAGGGGAATATTGAGGAGTTGCTGATGGGAAAGAGGAGAGCCTTAGAGTTTGAAGAGACGGAAGAAAGGGGGGAGGTAGAGCAGGAGAAGGATGTGTTTAAGAGGAGTAAGTTGGTGGGATGATCGCCGAAGAAGGGGGGGACAGGGGGACAGAAGAATTGTTGAGGTTGCTGACGAAGAGGGGGTGGTGACGAAAGAAGTGGGGAAAGTGGAGAAAAGGATAGAGGAAATGGCGAGGGAAGTGAGGAAAGAAAGGGAAGAGATGGTAAACAGGGGGGAGGAGGAAAGAGAGGCGATGATTGATAGGATAGTAGAGTTGGAAAAGAGGGTGGAGAAAATGGAAGTGGGGAATAAGGAAAATAGGGGTGACGGGGGAGGACAGAGTAAACGGGGGGGAGAAGAAAAGGTAGAGGAGGTGGAAAGGAGGTTAAGAGGAATGGAACTAAGGATGGAGAGAGATGAGAGAGAGAAGAGAAAGAAGAACGTAGTAATGAAGGAAGTGAAAAGGGGGAGGGGGCGAACTGGGAGAGGGAAATAGACAGGATTTGGAAGAAGATGGGGGTAGTTGGAGGTATAAAAGGGATGAAGGAAATTGGTGGAGTGAACAGAGAAGGGAGAGGGATGGTGTTAGTGGAGCTGGAAGGAAGAGACAGAAAAATGGAGGTGATGAAGGCAAAGGTGATGCTGAGAGGGGAAAAGGAGAGGGTGGAGGACGACTTAACACAAAGGGAGAGAAGGGTAAAATGGTTGATAGAAAGAGAAGCGGAGGCGAAGAGAAGAAAAGGAAAGAGGGTGAGGGTGGGGTATATGAAGATATAGGTGGATAGTGAGATGAAAGTGTGGGACGAGGTGGAGAATAGATGGAGAAGGACGACGGGAAACGAATAGGAAAAAAGGCAGAAGGAGATAGGCCGGTGGAGGCCTGCGAGGGTACTGGGCAAGGAGAGGGGGGAGTGGGGAGTAGAAGGAAAAGGAAATAGTACACGCTAAAGGTGGGTTTTTGGAATCTGGCGGGAGTAACAAATAAGGATAAAGAGTTTTGGGAGGGATTGAGAAGTTGGGAAGTGGTGGTATTAATGGAGACGTGGGTAGACAGGGAAGGGTGGGAAGGGATTAAAGAGCACTGGAAAAGAGGCTTTAAGTGGGAGGTACAGGATGCGAAATGAAGTAGAGGAAGGGGTAGAGCGAAGGGGGGATGGTAATGGGGGTTAAGGAGGGATTAGAGGTAGGCAAGGTTGAAAAAGGTGAGGAAGGATGGATGGAATGGAAAGTAAAGTTGGGGAGTTACTGGTGGTGGGTGGTGGTGGGTGGTGGGGGTGAATGTGAATGGGGATATGGAGAGGAAAAGGGAATGATGGCAAAGTGGATGGAAGAGGAGGATAGGGAAGAGAGGGTGGTAATTGGGGTAATTGGTAATGTAAGAACGGGGTCGGAAGGCGGGGTGTGGACGTTGGGGGAAGACAGGAGGGAGGAGAGCAGGAGGAAGTCGAAGGATGGAGTAGTGACGAAGGAAGGGGTAAGATGGTGTCAGTTTTTGAAGGAAAAAGGTTGGGGGATCTTAAACGGGGGAGTAAAAGGGGATGAGGAAGGGGAATGGACGTACGTGGGGGGAAAGGGCAGATCAGTGATTGACTATGTGGTGGTCGGGGAGAAGGCGTTGGACAAAATAGAGAAGATGGAAGTAGAATGTAAAGTGGACTCGGGTCACATGCCGGTGGTGCTAGGGGTGAAGGCGGGAAGAGGAGGGGGACGCAGGAAGAAGGAAGGGGAGGGGAAGGGAGAGAGGGTGGGGAGACGGTGCTGGAATGAGGAGAGAGTGCGGAAGTTCAAGGAGGAGTA